TGCTCCCTGAACAGCAGCTGAGCCCTTTACCAGAAGGAAATGAATGCCGTCAGTGATTTATGCTCGCTTTCAGGTGAAAAGATTTCTGTATATTTGCATAATGTTTGCAGAGCTCACGCTATCTGCCGGCATCCATCCAGCTGCTGAATTATCTGTTTGTTCAGTGATCTAATCCTCCCTGTCAGATCAGCGTTAAAGCGTACTTCCAGGGCTGCCGTCCTGCAAGGGCACGTCCACGCTCTCCCCTGCTTCGCTGCTTGGGAACCAGCTGTGGGCTTTATTTTGTTCCCTTCTACATCACCAGTTCACAGCTGGACTTCTCCCAGCCCTACCCCAGGAGTTTGCTGTGCCCAAAGGTCACGGTGATGGGATCTGAAGGCAGCTTTTACCGATTGATCTATATCCTGGTGGTGGCTGGGAGGAATATTTGATCCCGGCAATGTCACGGGATCATGGCAAATATTGCCAATATCGTGGCAAACAATTTGGTTTCAGCCCAGGTAGTCCAGAGGGTGCAAACCACCAGGAGAAACGCTCCTTCCTGGAAACACCGGGGAAAAAACTGAGACTGTTTCCCGAAGAAGGGACATGTGTATGGGTGATGAGAGGCTGGGAGAGGAGTAAAGAAACCTCAAAATCGGTGAAAGCATGAGAAAAGAGGGATGGAGGGTTGTGGTGGGAAGCTGGGGAGTGACGAAAGGATGGAGTTCTCACGGGGATGCGGCAGAATCCACAATTGAAACGCTCTTATGGTGACAGCAGCCTTAAGCCTCCTGCTTGTGCCAGTCAAATTCTACACAAACTTAGCGAAAAAGGGATGGGATTATCACCCAGTGGCTGTGTTACCTGGATAAAGAAGATTTTGGGTATTTTGGTAAGCCCTGGGCACTTCTCTGAGGACAAAATCTGGAAAATCCGGGTCAGCTTAACCGGTTCTGAGTCGCAACCGAATACGAGCCCCTCCTCTCCGTGGCTGGAGATGATGCTCACGAAGTACTCTCCGTGCTCACCGCTGCACTCTGCAAAGACACGGCCACACCGATGCCTTCGGGCATCGGCTCGGGGTGTCGCGGGGGGTGCTTAGGCTGAGGGGTGGGAAATGGGAGAGAGTGGGCTTGGGGGAAGAT